AGTTCGCATAATAGAATTTGCTGAATGAATGCCTGAAAAAAAAAGCGTTGGGACTAAAAAGGTGTTTGGGAACTCAGAGCAGGTAAATGGGTCTGGTGGTTATTTTTTGTCTACATGAGTTTATTTTTATATGAATCAGTTCAGTCACTCAGTCACGTCCGAGTCTTTGCAAAACCAAGGACTACAGCATGCCAGGCTTCTCTGTCCATCACCAACCCCCGGAGCTTGTTCAAACTCACATCCATTGAGTCAGTGATGCCATCCAACCATCTCATCCTCTGTTGTGCCCTTCTCCTCCTGTCTTCATTCTTTTCCAGCATCAGGGTCTTTTCTAATCAGTCAGTTCTTCACTTTAGGTGGCCAAAGTATTGGAGTTTCAGTTTCAGCATCCATCCTTCCAATGAATACTCAGAACTGATTTCCTTTTGGATTGACTGGTTTGATCTTCTCACAGTCCAAGGGGCTCTCAAGAGTCTTCTCCAATACCACAGTTCAAAATTATTAATTTCTATAAGAATATTTATACGAATATTTCATGGAAATAGGAATGTAGCAAGAGGGTCTGGGTAGTAGGATAAAAAATTGTAAGTGGAGATTCGTAGTGTTTCTCTATTTACATCCGGGATCAGGCTTTCCCAACATCGGGCTCAGCAGCGGCCTGTTTCTGCTGCCTGTATGCAGACCCACCCCTGGGCACACTTGGCGTTGCCCACAGGGTGGCAGGCGCAGCAGCTCTGATTGCAGAAGGTGCGTTTGCAGGAGCAAATACTAAGAGTACTAGAGGCTCATGAGCACTCAGGGTTCACTTTGAGCTGAGTTGAGGCTAGATGTCCAAATCAGTGGCCAAGAGACATTTGGGCTAGTGTCAGGGGAATTCTGGGCTAGCTGATTGTGACCTAAATTATGGGGTGATCTGCCTGAGCTTCCCAGGTGGCTCAGTGGTAAAGAACCTGCTTGCCAATGCCAGAGACACAGGTTTGATCCCTGTGTCTGGAAGATCCTCTGGAGGAGGAAATGGCAACCTACTCCAGTAATCTTGCCTAGAAAATTCCATGGACAGGAGAGCCTGGTGGGCTACAGTCCATGGCATTGCAAAGAGCTGGATGTGACTAAACAAGTGAGCACAGCACATGCTGCCTGGGCTGTCTTACTGGGGAGCCCTGATTTAATTATCTCTAGCTGTTTCTTCACATGACCCCAAGAAGAGTCTTCTAATCTCCTGCTGAGAGGTTGAAGACCTGGCAGCTACTGTTTTGGGAGCTAAGTGGAAAATTGGGCTGGGATTGTGGAAGAGAGTGTTTTATTACCCAGTATGTACATATTTGCTCAATCTTCCTCCTGTCTTGGGCTTCCCTGGTGTCTCAGACAGTAAAGAATCTGCCTGCAATGCAGGAGACCCAGGTTTGATCCCTGGGTGGGGAAGATCCCTTGGAGAAGGGAATGGCAGCCAACTCCAATATTCTTGCCTGGGAAATCCATGGACAGAGGAGCCTGACGGACTAGAGTCTAGGGTTGTGGAAGTGTTTTATTACTTAGTGTGTACGTAGTTGCTTAATCTGCCTTCTGTTTTACCCTGTCCAGAAGGAAAACTCAGTCTTTTTCCTTTAAGGGGGATGGTCAGTAGTCTAGTTACTGAGAGCAGGGGGAGGGGATCTGTTTAAAGTTTTCTCCAATTCTCCTAATTCCAGGACCTCTGTTTTCCACTGGACTGCCACTTCCAGAAGTGCCTGAGGTTATCAGGTCCTAAACTTTTTGGTGATCCTATGGTGCAAATAATGTTGCCTTTGAGCTCTCCCCATTATTGGTTTGCTAAATCATCTACTACTTGCCCTTTCTTTTTTTTGGTGCCTTTCAAAATCTTGTTGCTGTCAAATCTTCCCACGTTTTCCTCATCCGTATGGGTGTGTGCCTAAAAAAACAACAACAAAAAAATCAAACAAACCCATTTGTGCTTTCAACTGAGTTTTAGTAAGAAAATGAAGATCCAGCAGCTCAGTCTGACATCTTTGCCCAGAAATCACTCCTATTTCTGTTCATTCCGACTGCAATTGCTCTACTTTGAATCACCATCATTGCTCAGCTGGTCACTGCAGCAGGCTGCTAACTATTCTTTCTACTCTCAGGCTTGCTCTTTCCGTATCTATTTTATTACACTGAAGTCAGAGTGAACTTTCTGCAGAACAAATATTATTTCTCCACCCGCCTTTCTCTCAGTCCCTTTTGTTCTTAACTTGTAAGGACCGTGTATCAGCTGGCCTTGATCTACTTTTCATTCTTATCTCCCGGCTTTCTCCCACTTGCCCACTAGGCTCCAGCCATGCTGTAACTCAGGTTTCTTTTATTACACTCAAATACGGCGTCTTAAGGCATCCCTACATACTGTAATTTTATCTGTTAATTGTCTCTTACCACATCCTCCAACCCCTCTCCTCTAGCTTTTCTGGTTAACTTCTACTCATTTACTTTCAGGTGTCAACTTAAATATGTTTCCTTTAGGAAAGTCTTTCATGTGGCTCCAAACAAGGTGAGCCCTTTGTTGATGGTCTGATTGTTCTAAATACTTGCTATCCCTCCCCTAGAAAGGTTACAACTCCCTCTCCTGATGGTGTCAATATTCCACATAAGACACTTTTGGAAATTTTACAGTATCACTTTCATCACACCTTATTGTTATTGTGTTTAGTGTCTGTCTTCTTGACCGGACTGTAAGCTGCAAGAAGGAAACGTCCTGTGTCTATCTTATGTACCATGGTATCCCCAGCGTTTAGTACACCACCTTGACCACCTACAGTAATGGCAAAGACCCCTTGACCAAACTCTGCCATGGCTACTAACAGCTTAAGGCCATGTCCCTGGGCCAGTTCCTACCCAAACCAGGTGGTAGGCATGTAGGCCCCTGAACCTCCTTTAAGTAGTTACTTTAGAAAGTCCCAACTATAAATCTTCTTTCTGCCCCTTTGAGATATAAATCTTTTGTCACCCAGAACTGTATCCTCAAGGACTTGACAGCTCCTCCCAGCCTGGTGCATGCCAGCATGCATGATACGTCACTTAGTCATGTCTGACTCTTTGCGACCCCATGGACTGTAGCCTGCCAGGCTCCTCTGTCCATGGGATTCTCCAGGTATGAATACTGGAGTGGGTTGCCATGCCCTCCTCCAGGGGATCTTTCTCACCCAGGGATCGAACCCACGTCTCTTATGTCTCTTGCATTGGCAGATGGGTTCTTTACCATTAGTGCCACCTGGGAAGGCTGCTTTAACTTGTACCACTGCCTATCATGAAGATATGGAAAGTTAATTCCTCCTCCATATGAATGCCAATTAACAAACCTGGGTGGCCTAGTCACATGTACCAACCACCCACGGCACCCTTCAGTGCTTTCCCTTTTTTTTTTTTGACAGTAAGCATACTAGTTATTAAATTAAGCAATAAACAGGTAATATGTTAAAAAGCAGACATTACTTTCCCCACAAAGCTCCATCTAGTCAAAGCTATGGTTTTTCCAGTAGTCATGTATGGATGTGAGAGTTGGACCATAAAGAAACCTGAGCACCAAAGAATTGATGCTTGGAGAAGACTCTTGATGTGTTGGAGATGACTCTTGAGAGTCCTCTGGACTGCAAGGAGATCCAACAAGTCAATCCTAAAGGAAATTAATCCTAAATATTCATTGGAAGAACTGATGCTGAAGCTCCAATATTTTGGCCACCTGTTTTGAAAAAATGACCCATTGGATAAGACCCTGATGCTGGGAAGGATTGAAGGCAGGAGGAGAAGGGGAGGGCAGAGGAAGAGATGGTTGGATGGCATCACCGACTCGACGGACATAAGTTTGAGCAAGGTCTGGGAGTTGGTAATGGACAGGGAAGCCTGGCTGCTGCAGTCCATGGGGTTGCAAAGAGTTTGATAGACTGAGTGACTGAACTGGTAACAGCTGAGGGACATGATAGTTCCATTACTTCATAGCTTTCTTTGGGGTTTCTCCTATCGCTTTCTCCCACCCTCCAAGTTATGTTATTTTTTTCTTTCATAATCTAACTATATGAAAGATAATCATATCCAAATTATCCACAGTGTATTTTAGGATTAAACTAGTCAGATTATTGTAGACAAGTAAAGAGGTGGACACGACTTAGCCACTAAACCTTCACCAACACTATAGAAAGCTGTTAAAAAGTCACACACCCAAACATCAATTCCCTCTTTTCGCTTTTTGGCTTAAAAATCTTCAAAAGTTTTACCATTTCTTTTTTTTTTCCCCTTCTGGTGAAAACAAAGAACCATCCAAAATTTATTCTCCAACAGACAGCAGCAGCAGGTAAAAACTACAGGGGTTTCTCCGCAGATCGTGCATTCACGAGACATTATTAGCTAACAAATGAGAAATCCTCTGGTGTATTTTCTGTAACAGTATCCACTAAGTTTTACCATTTCAATTTCTGGACCAATGACAAGAATTCAGTTCAGTGCAGAAAGTGGAGAGGTAAGATGCGGTTATTTGGTCAGAGCGGGTGAGTTGGTCTATACCTTGGCTGCAAATGGCCCACACATCTCTAGTCCTCCCTCGGTCAGCTGCTAGCAATCTGTTACCTACACCTGCGGGCTTTCGCAGTTCCTCAAAATCTTACCTAGTTAAACGCTACCGTGGGTACTTTATGGAGCACACAGCGCCCCCCGCAACCCGAGACTTGCAGTGTCGATTCGTACTTGGATTGACGAACAGCAGCACCCCATCTCCCACGCTCCAGCCGCCTCTTCGGCCCCGCCCGGGCAGTGGCCGTAGGTGTCACGTGCTTAGACCCGGGCGCGAAGCCGGTGCCGCCATGTTACTTTCTGGCGGCCCTGTTGGAGAAGGCAAAGGGTAGCTGAGCGGCCGCCCGGAGTTCCGGTCCTTGTGCGCAAGTGCGGAAGTGTGTTGGCCCCGACTGCGCTCAGTTTCCGGCCGGTGGTTCCGCACCGGCCACCCGTAGACGTGTAACGGACGGTGGACCGCAGCCATGGCCGAGAGGAAACCTAACGGCGGCGGCGGCGGCGCCGCCTCGGCCTCCTCGTCGGGCACTAACTTACTTTTCTCCTCCTCGGCCACGGAGTTCAGCTTCAACGTGCCCTTTATCCCAGTCACCCAAGCCGCCGCTGCCTCGGCCTCCCTGCTCTTGCCCGGAGGTAGTAAGGAGATGGAGATCCGGTTGGGCAAGTGTGGGCGGGGGCCGTGAGGTGAAGGGTCGGACAGGAGGTTGTTCCTTTGCCTGGATCCGACCCTCTGCGACCTTGTCAGGGCAGTTAGTGGCCAGATTTGAGTAGTTTAGGGTCTTGGGGGCGGGGGCCAAGCTGTTCGTCGAAGGGACTGTTCAAGTGCTGGCCACTCCTGTACTGGCATTTCTCACGTTTTTGTTGAACATCTACTGGTCAGCCAGGCGCTTGCAGGGAAGGTAAAATAAATTAGTTCCCCCTCTCCTCGGATACAGTAGACTGTCTCCTCGGATACGCTTGTAATACTTGCAAAGCAGAGGCATAGAACAGTCATCTTTCAAGGCCGTGCCTCATTTTCTTTTTTTTTTTTTCATTTTCTGTTAGAAGCTCTTGCTTGTTTTCTTAGGTGCCCATTCCTATGTGCACCTTAGCACTTTGTACATATCTTTATTAGTGTCTACGGAGCTTGCGTTTTCATGATTATGCGGCATAACCCAGAGCTGGTGTTTAGGAGCCCCGACTGTATTCCCACCCTAGCCCTGGCAGTAACTTGATGTGTGATCTCAGGCATGTTACTTCACCTCTCTGTGCTGCTTTTTCCATACATGAGAATTGAATTGATTTTTGTGAAGCACTGAATATAGCATCTGGCACATCATGTTGCATAAACGTTTGTAAAGTAAGCGTGTCTGCCTGTTTATTTGGACTGTGAGCTATGTGAAGTTTGCAGCTATGACTTATTTACCTTTTTATTTCTAGAATCTTGTTTAGTGCCCAGCACATAGCTCCTCGGGACATGGTGAATATTTTTATCCTGAATAATTTATTCTTCTTTGGAGGACCAAGGAAAGTTTCATGGAGAGGTGAAAAGGGGCGAACCCGAGCAGTACGCAATGGCTCTTCTCTGGTGTCATGTTTCTTCTTGGTTCTTACCACCTGACATGTCCACATCTTTGTTTATCTTGTCCCGCTAGCACAGTAAGCTCCATGAGAGCAGGAGCTTATGCCTAGAACACTGCCTGGTATGCTGTAGGCAGATTTTTTTCTCTAGAAACTTGTTGAATGAGTGAAAAGGTGGAAGTTAGGAATATGTCTCGTTTTGATAGTGTGGCTGAAAAGGTCCACCTTGCCATTTTTGGTGGAGGACCAGCATGGCTGGAGCAGAATGCTTTTGGAGGTTGCAGGAATAAATAAGGCTGTACATGCGGTTCTCTTATCATCCTCTGCTTCACTAATGTTTCGTTCACGCCCATGTTCCTTTAAAATACTTTGTTTGTGCCTGTCACTGTCAGTAGATGGTAAACATCTTCCTTGTCTGGAGAAGGCAATGGCACCCCACTTCAGTACTCCTGCCTGGAAAATCTCATGGAGGGAGGAGCCTGGTAGGCTGCAGTCCATGGGGTCCTCAGAGTCGGACATGACTGAGCGACTTCACTTTCACTTTTCACTTTCATGCATTGGAGAAGGAAATGGCAACCCACTCCAGTGTTCTTGCCTGGAGAATCCCAGGGACGGGGGAGCCTGGTGGGCTGCCGTCTATGGGGTCGCACAGAGTCGGACATGACTGAAGCGACTTAGCAGTAGCAGCAGCAGCATCTTCCTTGTCAAGTACAGGGTAACTTAGCTGTCTTGAAAGCTATTGATTCTTGGAGATGGTTTATTTTGTAGTAAGAAAATTAATACGTTTTAGAACTGAAATTCTTTAACAAAAGTTTTTCTGTCTTTAAAAAAGAGTTGATCGTTGGAGGTCCATTCAGTGAATTTCCAGAGTCCAAAGGAGAACCTGTGGCATTGGAAGCAGCGATGAATCAATGTCAGTGAAAGGCATACAGGAAGCAGTTTCATTCACTCAGCAAACCTGGATCGAGCAGCTTGTTTGTCAGGCCCTGTTCCAGGTGTCAGAGAGACAGAGGAGCAGATAGCACTGTCCTCAATGACTGCACAGTTTTACAGACACTGTACCCAGCTGTGTAAGTAGTTGTGGTCCAGGTTTGTGATGGCTGGAAAGAGGGATTGATAGGCTGGCTGACCAGGGAGCGGACATCCCGTAGACCTTCAGAACTTTACAGAGGAGGTGATTCTTGAGCTGAGTGTTGAAGGATACATAGAAATTAGGAAGTCTGGGGAGACAGTCATATGGAAAAGTCTGGAGGTGTGAGAGAAACCTGCAGATTTGGTGGGATTTCGAGGTAGGTGCTCACATTCTCTCTCTCTCCCCTCCAACTCTTTCCCTCTTGGCCAGTCCCCACCTCCCCGCACCCCCCCAGGTCCATGTGACTAGAGTGAATACAGGGGAGTGGCTCAAGTGGTTAGTGGGGAACCAGGTCATGAAGGGCCTCATACAGCACATTGAGGAGTTCATAGTACTGTGGTGTGCAGGTGCGCTTGAAGGTTCTAAGCAAGTCTGTGACATTAGAGATGAGTTTCAGAGAGACTGGAGTTTTCTGAGATTGCACCAGAGGAGTAAAGCTGACTGTAGCAGAAGTGTCCAGTCTGGACGCCACTGTGAGTCAGGCAGGAGTGAGTGGCACTCTAGCTCTGGTCAGCCATGTGGGGTGTGAAGAACAGGAAACAGAAGTAAGAGATTTTTACACCATCAAATTGTTGGGACTTAGTGACTCACTGAGGGCCAGACTGTCCAATGTGCAGGCTCTTTATCTGTTCAGTTTCAGCTCCAAGATACAGCTCCACCTGGCATACAATAGATACTTGTACTCCTTTAATTGAAGATCTAAATGATTAAATGGAAGAGAGGGAGGTGTCTCAGAGAGGAGGTTTCTGGTTTTCCTGTCTGGATGGATGTTGGTAGACGTCCGCTGAGGTGGTGAGATTGTAAAAGGAGTACCTGAAGGGGGGCAGTTAAGATGACAGTCTAGGGTTACTAAGCTTGAGATGTATGTGTCTGAACCTGCCACAAGTACTGAGGAAGCAGTTGGAACATAGGTTCTGGGACACATACGATCAGTCTCAGTTTGGGACAGAGTTGGGAGTGTCACAAGTATACAGGCGCTTACTAACGCCAAAGGTGTCCACATGTAATTAGAAAGTGCCCCTGAGGTGAGACTGGCAGCTTGATGAGATCAGTATTTTGTTTGTAAATGATGCTAATCAGAGAAACGTTTCTTGTATCAGATTGATCCCAAGTTGCTTTAAAAGATGAAGGATACCACAGAGGTTTTCCCCCCGCTTTCAAATGTTGAGAGATGAACCGAAGTCTGAGTCCAGGTGAGGTTCATGGGAATGCAGAGAGGATAGGAACTGGAAATGTATCAGAGAAGTAGAATGATAAAAGCAGAGAGGGGACCTTGCTCAGGAAGTGATATTTTAATTACAAAGAAACAGTTCAGAGGGGTGTTTTGAAGAGTGGAGTATCTCAGTTAAATTGATGTGTGAGATATAACTGGGAGCAGCCTAGCAGCTGAAGGCCGCATTCAGCAGTAGAGGTCAGGAAGGGGCTCAGAGCTTGGTCACACTTGGGCAGGTCTCAGGGACAGGGGCCACAGCCTGCCATGTGTTGGGAAGGAGTCCACCGTTCTCCTCTGCTCTGTGTCTCCAGCGGTGGGAGATTAGAGAGATTTGAAGAGAAGGGGTTGAGATGGGAGAAAGAAAAGATTAAGAAGAGAAAGGCGATGTTCCAAGCTAAGGACTCATAAGAGTTTCTAAGGAAAACTAGACGACTTTTTAGGCCGTGTAGAAGGAAAATGTTATTTTACAACTTGGTAGCGAAAGAGAGAATAAAATAATATAGTTTGGTGCCAAAATACCCACAGCGAAGATCAAGTTTGGCAAAGGGAAGTGAGGAGACCTTCCCTTTGTTAGAAATGACTTCTTTTTAGTGATTGTCATTCTCTAATGACGAGTTACCTGGTTGTGATACTGTGTGGTTTTAGGGATGGTAATGAATGGTTGACCTACTTTGCCTCAGGAATGCCATCACCTCATGTTCACTTGTATAATGAGTGCTTTGTAGGTAAGAGCCCTGACACACCTCTTCTTGTCAACAGAGTTAATATCTGTACTTTAGTTTCTTGTCGTTGCTGTATAAATAAAGTTCTGTGTATTTGGGTAGCGGAATAATGTTTAAATTGTTTCTTACTAGGAAAAAAATTCATTCAAAACAACATCTAAAAGTAGTAGGTACAAATTTTGCTTGCATTTTTTGAAAAATTCTCCTATATACAGATATGGGCTGCCCTGGTGGCTCAGATGGTAAAGAATTTGCAGGAATGCAGGAAACCAGGGTTAAATACAAATATGTCTACATAATTTATACATATCTACCAAGTAAATAGTATGTAACTATTTATATTTATTTTAAAAGTATGGAAAGGTATGTATCAACATATTAACAGCATTAACAGTGATTGTCTCCAGGAGGTGAGCTTATGAATGAGTTGCAAGGTTTCCCTCCTTTTGTTGTTTCTTACTGGTATTTTGTAGTTTTTCATTTTAAATAAAAAAGAAAAACAAATTTTTCATTATTGTCTTTAGAGCAGAAGTGTAAGTTTGAACAACAAAATAAGACGTATAATTGCTAGACCTGCCATATAGAATCTTATCCACAGAGTAACAGCATCCCTTTAAACTGTGTGCCCTCCTGTTCCCTTGCAGAGGATTCCACTGATGTGGGTGAGGAGGACAGCTTCCTTGGGCAGACTTCTGCTCACACGTCTACCCCACAGACATTTAGTTACTTCTCTCAGGTATCAAGCAGTAGTGATCCTTTTGGGAATATTGGACAGTCCCCGTTAACAACTGCAGCAGCATCAGCTGGACAATCAGGCTACTCCAAGCCCCCAGCATCTCTGCCTTTTACAACTGGATCCCAAGATGTGTCGAATGCATTTTCATCATCCATTTCGAAGGCGCAATATGGTGCTCCACCTACTTCACAAATGGGAATAAATCCTTACCTGCCTTCTCAGCCCAGTAATCTCCCTCCTTCGAATTTTGGGAGCCCACCACAAGGAACACCCCAACAAGGATACAATCCGTATCGCCACACGGCTGTAAGCAGCAGGGCTAATCCTTACATTGCCCCACCGCAGTTGCAGCAGTGCCAGACACCAGCCCATCCCTCCCATCCTCCACCCTCCGCACCCCCTGTTCAGATGTACCAGGTGCCTCCAGGATCTTTGCCGCCGGTATGAAGACATGCTTTTATATCTTTATAAATTTGATATATATAATTTTAAAATTATATTCACTGTGATTCTAATCCCTCTCTCATTTTTACCTGTGCTTTGATGACAAATTATGTTCAGAGGGTTTTTTTTTTTTTGGTAAGCCAAATGTTTTGAAGTAAACGACCTTTTCAAAGTAGCTCATTGAATGGTTCATGTTTTAGGTTATATTTTCTATTTATGGAAGTAATAATTGATTTTAATGCATTAACTGTATGCCAGTATTACCAGATTTAATGTAGGATACCAGTAACAAATGTCGTCTGGAGATGTGTGAGAGTCGACGAAACTATTATCAGCTTCTCTTTTTTAAATTATACTGTTCAATCAAAACGCTCAGTTACTGGGACTAAAATTGATTACTCCAATAATTTATTTACATTTATAAAGTTTGGATCTAGACAGACTACCTCAGACAGATGGAATAACTTTTGCCTTGGGTAAATTTTATGAAATTCCTTTATGCTCCCTCCACCCGCCCCAATTATTCAGCTGACTTCCAAAGGGAAGTGAACTGAATCAGAGAAAGGGAAATGATTGGAAGGAAGAATTAAGAACCCAGTATGGCAGGGATAATGGTATTGTAGTCAGTGGTGATAGAGAATAGGCTTCATTTTACCATCTAATCTAAATCATACCAGTACACAAACTCTTGGTAACGGTGGATTTCAGCAGATTGGTAGCATGTAATGTAAGTTAGTATACTTGTTTGCTGATGACATTTTGAAGAGTTCTGATTAAAAAATTTTTAAATGATAATTTTAAGTAAACCGTTACAAAAATTAAAAAAAAAATAGGACAAAGAACACGCCAGTACTCTAACCCAGATTCCCTGTCATGAACATTTGTTCTCTCCTTCATGAACATGCACACTGACACGTTTTGGAGCATTCTGTCCTCCCCTGTTCCTTTCTCACGCTGTATATGTGCAGTTTTGGGGGGAAACACTTGATGATCAGTTACATACATTATAGAGCTTCCCTGGTGGCTCAGCTGGGGAAGAATCCACCTGCAATGCAGGAGACCTGGGTTTGATCCCTGGGTTGGGAAGATCCCCTGGAGAAGGGAACAGCTACCCACTCCAGTATTCTGGCCTGGAGAATTCTGTGGACTGTGTAGTCCATTGGGCTGCAAAGAGTCGGATACAACTGAGAGACTTTCACTTTCACTTATATACATTATGATTCTTTACTCCTAGATACTTTAGTGTGTATTAGTATTTCCTAAGAATAAGAATATCTTTTGCTTGACTGCAGTAATCAACCTCAGTAAATTTAACATTGATGGAATATTTTGAAATCATTTTTTAATAAAATTTAAAAAAATAATTGTATTCTGCTTTTAAAAGTATTTTTACTGTCCCAAATTTGAGAAATGACTAACAGCCAAATGAGTAAAAATTGCCACAAGAAAATCTTGTTTTTAGTTATTATGTCTTATCTTTTTTCTAGATAAACATAGTTTTTCCTTGACAAGCATTATATATGTTTTTTATGTCAACATATTTTAGAGGTTAAGATTTTTTTCTGAAACATTTTTAGTCTGTAGAGAATTCCAGTATATGAGTAAAAGATGATCTGTTTAATCAGGTTTCTGGTAGGTCTTTAGATTGTATCCAGTGATGGTCTGTTATAAATAACCTTTCGGTATATGTCCTTGTGGATGCATTTTTACAGTTACGTCTTGAGGATGAATTCGTAGAAATGGAATAGCTAGGTCAAGGAACATGCATTATTTTTTATTTTTTTTGGCCGTGTCTCATGGCTTGTGGGATCTTACTTCCCGGACCAGGGATGACCCCAGACCCTTAGCAGTGAAAGCAGCAAGTCCTAACCGCTGGACTGCCACAGAATTCTCGAGGATTATGCATGTCTTAAAGATGAAGTAAATGACAGGAAGTATACTGCTGGATTGATTTCTATAAACATATTAGTTTACTTTGCCATCAGTGTGAGAAAGCCCTGTTTACTTCCCAGCTGGCATGGGGTTATGTTAGATTTTTTAAAAAATTTAATTGCTCTGGAGCTTAGTTATTAAATAGCTGTCTAGAGAAATATTAAGGATACTTGTTACTAACGTCAGTTTGGGTGTGCAGCATACACAGAATTGTTCCTTGGACTGACTGACAGTCCTGTCTTTGTCCCCCACAGAGCCCTCCTTCGGCGCAGGCAGGGTTGCCCCCTCCAGCCCAGCAGCAGGCATCTGCCAGACTTGCGGGGCCCCCTGTGCAGGCGCCACCTCCTTTTCTGCTTCAAAACCAGTATGAACCTGTGCAGCCCCACTGGTTTTACTGCAAGGAGATAGAATACAAACAACTGTGGATGCCTTTCAGTGTTTTTGACTCTTTGAATCTTGAAGAAATCTATAATTCAGGTAAGTGTGGGTCCTGCATCATATGTATCTGATCTGAGGAAGAGTGGAATGAAGAGTAAGTATCTGTGGCCTCCTTTTTATGAATGTCACTTTCTTTAATCCTGTAGACCTCACCAGCCTGTGTACCTTAAGGTGATGATACTTTCAATAATACACTTGTATTATTAAGTTCTGGGTTATTTGAGTAAGGTATTTGAAGACATGTTTTAATAATTTTTTGTGTATTTTAAATCCAAGAAGTAAAGTAGTTCATACAATCCAGGTGTCAGTTTTCTTATTTCCTTTATTTGTTTGTAGCTAGAGGGCAATGTGGGAGACCTGGGTTCAATCCCTGGGTTGGGAAGATCCCCTGGAGAAGGGAAAGGCTACCTACTCCATTATTTTTGGCCTGGAGAATTCCATGGACTGTATAGTCTATGGGGTCACAAAGAGTCGATTGTGACTGAGCAACTTTCACTTTCACTTCATAGGGCATTTATAAAGCATTTTCTGTGGAACTCTTGTTCCTTCAGATAAGAGTTTTAAAAATGCTATAACTACATCTCTCTCTCTTTTTTTTTTTCTGTAGCAAGAACATCCATCTCTTCAGGCAGTGCACAGGAGTAGGTTAAGACTCTGAGAAGTTTTCACTATAGAAATAGGTTTTTTTGTTTATCCTGAAGATAGTTCATCTTAGAACTTAAAAATCACCTATTCTTTAGAAGTATGTTCATGGAGCATTTGCTGCTTTGGTATATAGAGAAAAAGCCTACCAGTTATTGGAATTATTTCATGATGCTGTTATATTTTACTCTGGTTATTTCTTCTCCACTTAAAAGAAAGAGTTACCATTTTGAGCAGCACATACTAATTTTATTTCTTTCTTTTTTTTTTCCCATTTATTATTATTAGTTGGAGGCTAATTACTTTACAATATTGTAGTGGTTTTTGCCATACATTGATATGAATCAGCCATGGACATATTAATTTTAAAATTCTGTTTTTGAATAGAAATGAGCTTCGTTCTTTGTAATGTTAGACGAGTCACCATATTCATTGTTTATTACTCTTAAATCTACCTTGTAACTGTTCAGTTAAAATGTGGGCTTTGTTCTCCAGTCCAGCCAGACCCTGAGAGTGTGGTCCTTGGCACTGACGGAGGGCGCTTCGATGTCTACCTCTATGACCGGATGCGGAAGGCCGTGTACTGGGAAGAGGATCCAGCCGAAGTGAGACGCTGTACTTGGTTCTACAAAGGCGACACAGACAGCAGATTCATTCCCTATACAGAGGAGTTCAGTGAAAAGCTAGAGGTACGTGGGCTTTATTCTCTTATGCCTTTCTTTAAAACACATAGACTCTTTATACATTGGCGCCTCATGTTTCACCTCTCACAGTGGAGCAGACTTTATTTACAGGACACCTCATCTTGATCCTATTCACAAAGAAGACTACTTTTTAACTAGTGTCATCTTTTTTTCTTTTTTTTTTAAGTGTCATCTTTTTTGAAGTGCTAATTGTGGTCTTGGTGTCTGAAGATAGAATGTTTTTCAGGGGAACATTACAGATCTAATATAATAAGATATTGTATCAAACCTTCAAAAGAACTTAGGCTGCTGGGATCTGCTGCTACTAATACATGCCAAGTGTATGGTGGTTTTTCAAATTAATATTCAGTTAAAGGGTTTATGAAAATAAACATAAGAATAGGAATAGATGTTGTCAGACTTTTTAACCATCTTAAAACTGGTGGTTAATGTTGCTTTACATAATACTGTTAATTGTTAAAATTTTCTTAATAATTGAGTATTTAAATATTTGAAATAAGTTAAATTAATTCATCTGCATACATGGGCATGATAAAGGACAGAAATGAAAGAGACCTAACAGAAGCAGAAGAGATTATGAAGAGGTGGTAGGAACATACAGAAGAACTATACAGGAAGATTCTTAATGACCTGTATAACCACTATGGTGTGTTTACTCACTTAGAGCCAGACATCCTATAGTGTGAAGTCAAGTGGGCTTCAGGTAGCATTAGAAGTATAATTGACAGGCAGTGAACTATACATATTTATGATATGTATTTGATTCAAAAAGTTTGGGCATATCCACACACCTGTGAAACCACCACCACAAACAAGTTAGTAAACCTGTCTGTTGTCCCTTTTTGCCTTTTCATACTGTTCATGGGGATCTCCTGGCAGGAGTACTGGAATGCGTTGCTGTTCCCTCCTCCGGTGGACTGTGTTTTGTCAGAACTCTTCACTCTGACTCACCTGTCTTGGGTGACCCTGCATGGCATGCCTCACTGAGTTATGCAGGCCCATTTGCCGGGACAGGACTGTGATCTGTGAAGGGGTCCTTTAAGAAGAGGTGGCAAGAATACACAAAAGAACTGTACAGAAAAGGTCTAATGACTTGGATAACCATGATGGTGTGGTCACTCACCTAGAGCTGGACATCCTGGAGTGTGAAGTCAAGTTTGCCTTATGAAGCATTACTATGAACAAGGCTAGTGGAGGTGATGGAATTTCAGCTGAGTTATTTCAAATCCTAAAAGGTAATGCTGTTTAAGTTCTGTACCAAATATGTTAGCAACTTTGGAAAACTGAACAGTGACCACAGGACTGGAAAATACTACTCCAATCCCAAAGAAGGGCAATGCCAAAGAATGTTCAAACTGCCATACAGTTGCTCTCATTTCACATGCTAGTAAGGTTGTGCTCAAAACCCTTCAAGCTAGGCTTCAGTAGAGGTGAACCGAGAACTTCCAGATGTATAGGCTGGATTTAGAAAAGGCAGAGGAACCAGAGATCAAATTGCCAACATTTTTTGGATCATGGAGAAAGCAAGGGAATTCTAGAAAAACATACGCTTCTGCTTTGTTGACTCAGTTAAAGCCTTTGACTCTGTGGATCACAGCAAACTGGAAAATTTTAAAGAAATGAGAAAACCAGACCACCTTACCTGTCTCGTAAGAAACCTGTATTTGGATCAAGAAGCAATAGTTAGAACAAGATATAGAACAGTGGACTGGTTCAGAATTGGGAAAGGAGTACAACAAGACTGTATATTGTCTCCCTGCTCACTTAACTTATATACAGAGTACATTATGCACAATGCCAGGCTGGATGAAGCACAAACTGGAATCAAGATTGCTGGGAGAAACATCAACAATCTTGGATATGCAGATGATACCACTTTAATAGCGTCAGAAAGCGAAGAGGAACTAAAGAGTCTCTTGAAGAGGGTGAAAGGGGAGAGTGAAAAAGCTGCCTTAAAACTCAGCATTCAATAAACTAAGATCATGGCATCTGGTCCTGTCACTTCATGGCAGATAGAAGGGGTAAAAGTGGAAGCAGTGACAGATTTTATTTTCTTGGGCTCCAAAATCACTGTGGGTTGTGACTGCAGCTGTGAAATTAAAATACTGTTGTTCCTTGGAAAGAAAGCTGTGACAGACCTAGGCAGTGTCTTGAAAAGCAGAGACCTCACTTTGCCGACAAAGGTCTGACTATAGTCAAAGCTGTGGTTTTTCTAGTAGTCATATATGAATGTGACAGTTGGACCATAAAGAAGGCTGAGCACTGAAGACTTGATGCTTTTGAATTTTAATGCTGGAGAAGACTCTTGAGAGTCCCTTGGACAGCAAGGAGATCAAGCCAGTCAATCCTAAAGGAAATCAACCCTGAATATTCATTGGAAAGACTGATGCTGAAGCTTCAATACTTTGGCCACGTGATGTGAAGGGCTGACACATTGGAAAAGACCCTGATGCTGGAAAAGGTTGAAGGCAGAAGGAGAAGGGGAGGCAGAGGATGGGATGGTTCGATAGCATCACTGACTCAGCTGACATGAATATGAGCAAATCCAGGAGATGGTGAAGGACAGGGCATTCTGGTGTGCTGCAGTCTGTTGGGTTGCAAAGAGTCGGATTAGCAACAGAACAACAGCAACAAAGGAATTAATAGACAACTCTAAACTTTGGTTTTCACCTCTGTATAATGGGGATAATGTTATTTAGGGCTGAATAAAAGCAGTTAATCAAATGAGGTACTATATGTAAAATGTTATGTTTGCTAACCACTTAGTAAATGAGATCTGTGATTGTTATTTTTATTATTATCATTGTTAATAATTTTCTTCCACACTCTCTCTTAAGGGACTGTGACACAGATTTGTTTTACTGGATTGTATGTCGTTTCCATTGTAGGCTGAATATAAGAAAGCTGTAACCACAAATCAATGGCACCGAAGATTAGAGTTTCCAAGTGGAGAGACAATTGTCATGCACAATCCAAAGGTAGTGGTATTGTTTAAGATATTAAAATGTTTAGGTTTTAAAAAATTACTATTTTGCTGAATATGTTTGATAAGTGTTCATTTTTATTCTGCAGCAGGGATATAACAAGTACATTGCATGGATGATAGAAAAATAAATGAAATTTAAATTTCTTTCACTAAGTTTCTGTTTATGGTAGCACATTAGCTAAAGCTTAGTATGCATCATTGAAATTAAGCTTGACAAGTTTTTATACTTGACCCAAGGTCAGCTGACTTTTCTGTGAAGGGTGAGAGAGTAAATATTTAAGGCTTTGTAGGCCATGTAGTCTCTGAAAGATTATTGGTATTTAGGTATTATGTAAACCAACGGGCATGGCTATTTTCAATAAAACAAATAATATTTCAATTAAAACAATACTTCAGTATTTTCATTTTTTTATAAAAATGAGTGGTAGGCCAGGTTTGACCTGCGGCAATAGTTTGCCTACCTTGCCCTTGAGAGTGGTTTGTTTCAACCTTTACAGTAAAAATACATTCTTCCTCTTTTTATTTATATTGTCTCCAGGAACCTTTCTTGTTTCTTTAAAGATACCAGGTGTGGTGTTCAAATTCCTCCATTTACCATCCTTAATCTAAGCTCCAGGTCTCTCAACTGCAACAATCTCCTAGGGTCATGTTTTAGATGAAGTGGGGTTGTGCAGAAGCATCTAGCACAATGCATATGTAGTTTCTCAGAACATAGGCTATTTATTACAGAAAAATGTAAAAGAAAAAAATAATCTGTATTCTGACCACCACTATAGTCCTTACTGGTGTATTGAAATAAGTAAATAAAAACATACCCATAGTCCATCAAAATTTAAAGTGCTGAAAGGTATTAAATGGAAAATAAAAGCCTTTTACTACATCCCCTAGTTTTGCCTCTTAATGGTAGCCGTGCTTACTCTTTTTTAATTGTTTTTTTTTAAACTCTTGTTTTTATATAAACAAACAACACTTTGCATACCGTCTACATGCATTCATTTTTTGGGGGGAGGGAGAGGTTGATGTTAAACTATCATTTTACTTTTTTAATTGAAGTACAGTTGATTTATACAATATATTAGTTTCCGTTGTGCAGCATTACGACTCAGTACTTTTATAGATTGTTATACTGCTTTGGAAGTCATTACAAGATAATGTCTGTAATCCCTTGTGCTGCGCAATGTATCCTTGTAGCTTATCTATTTTGTATAGTAGGTTGTTTCTCTACTCCCCGGCCTCTGTCTCACTCATTCCTCTCCCTCCCCTTACTTGTTAAACTGCTCTGCTGTTTGTGATTTTTCCAATCTATGAGTCTTTCTGTTTTTCTATTTACATTAATTTGTTTTATTTTTTAGAGTCCACAGATAAGTGATATAGTATTTGTCTTTTCTGACTTAATTTCATTGCACATGTTTTCTAGGTCCATCCATGTTGCTGTAAATGGAAGAATTTCATTCTTTTTTATGGCTAATATTCCATTGTGTGTGTGTATGTGTCTGTATCTGTGTGTGTGTCCAACATCTTCTTTATCCACTTGTCTGTTGATGGACATTTGGGTTGCTTCCATATCTTGGCTGGCTTCCATATCTTGCTGTGAACTTTTAAGTTTTTTGGTTTAAGTTTATTCCTAGGTATTTTATTTTCAAAGAGAGTTTTAGCGGGATTTTTTCTTTTTCTTCCTTTTTTAGTTCATTATTAGTGTATAGAAAAGCAACAGGGTTCTGTATATTAATTCTTGTATTCTGCCACTTGACTGAACTCGTATATCAGTTCTAATAGTTTTTTGGTGGAGACATTAGGATTTTCTGTATACTGTCATGTCATGTGCAGATAGTGACAGTGTTACGTCTTCCTTTCCAGTTTGGATGCTTTTGTTTCTTTTTCTAATCTGATTGCTGTGGCCAGACTTCCAATACTATGTTAAATAGAGGTGGCAGGAGTGGGCATCTTTGTCTTGTTTCCAGTTTGGAGGAAATACTGTCAGCTTTTCACCACTGAGTATGATGTTAGTGGTGGGTTTTTTCATAAATGGCCTTTGTTATGTTGAGATATATTCTCTATACCAACTTTGATGAGAGTTTTGTTAGGAATGGGTGTTGAATTTTGGTTGTTATTTCTCCTTTTTCATTTCTTATTTTGTTTAGTTGTGCCCTCTTCTTGGTAAACCTGAATAACATTTTATCAATTTTGTTTATCTTTTTCAAAAAACCAGTTCTTGGTTTCATTGCTCTTATTATTTTGGCCTCTGTTTTATTTATTTCCTTTCTCATCTTAATTAGTTCTTTCTTTCTGCTGACTTTGGACGTCATTTTTTCTTCTTTTTCTGATTCCTTTACATGGTAGATTAGGTTGTTTGAGATTTTTCCATATGACACTGGACTAAATTAAATACAGTTGATGTAACGGAATAGTGTATGTCTTCCTGAAAAGTGGTAGGTAAGTCTGTTTTTGACATTGAAATTGAATTTGCACTGTTTATTTAGAGGATTTTGTGTTTATAAAGTAAAGATTCCTCTATTGCAGGTAACTTTTAATTTCTTACATGTAAACCTGGAAATTTGTTATATTTTTAAATCAAGACAAACTACTTCTCATTTAATTATATTATTTTTCAACACAAGCATTGGAAATAATGGTATTGACTTGCTTAATCTTAATGGTTACTAAACACCAGCAAAACTGCTAGAAAACTGATTTTGTAGGAGCAGTATAAGTACTTGATTTATAAGCTGTACTATAAACTAGTTTATTGTGTATTGAAATAAATTACTTGATTTATAGTGGAAATGAATTTGGTAGTGAGCTCTGTCATAATCCTTCTCTGTATCTTGAAGGTTATTGTTCAGTTCCAACCTTCCTCAGTGCCTGATGAATGGGGGACCACACAAGATGGACAGACAAGGCCTAGGGTTGTAAAGCGTGGAATTGATGATAACCTTGATGAAATTCCTGATGGTGTGTATAATTTTTTAGGATCAAGATCATTTTTAAACTTTTCTACTTTAAAATGATGAGAAAAGCAAACAGTTATTAGGATTACCTGCTATATTTGAACAAAATAATGAATGAAATGAAACAAATAAATAATCTGAATCAATCTACAATCTGAATGAGATAATCAGTAAAATAGTGGATTTAGCTTGAAAATGTTCATTATAGTGTGTATAAATCTAACAAAGAGAAGGATTTTGGGAAAAGATTGTAAGTTTTATATTGGCAGATTGCTTCTCCACATGGGGCTTAGTGCCCTGGGCAGTTCTGGAGAAATGACAAGGTTATGGAGCCTCTAGAGGTACAAAACTGATGGTTGTCATTGGCTCATAGCCTCTCCAGTGAGCTGCTTTCTCCACTCCTTGGTCTAGTTCACTGATTTATGCCAAGATGGACTTTTAGCTTTGTTCATCTAATTTTGGCAAGTTTGTGATGACAAAGGGGATATTGAATATTGCTGCTCATTTAATAAAACCTAAACCAGTCTCCAGCTTGTGTATGTTTGTATGTATGGATGTGTGCATGTCTGTCTATCTTTTGCAGGAGAAATGCCTCAGGTTGACCATTTGGTGTTCATGGTACATGGCATTGGACCTGTGTGTGACTTGCGCTTTAGAAGCATTATTGAATGTGGTAAGTGTTAGTCACTTTATTTCATGAAATGATTTGAAAACTATTAGAAGAACTTGAAGCCTTCATTTTAAAGTGTTTTCAGCTGTATACTGTTGGCTGATGTACTGTCAGAGGAGATTGAACTAATCACTGGGCAATACTAATTTGTACTTATTTTGCTCTTATGACATTTGTAACTCATAAAATCCTAGACTGTGAAGAATGAGCAGGGATCTTGGAAATAATTTAGCCCTTCTGACAGCCTCTGCCTGAACACTTTCAGCTACTAGGAACACCTACACGTTGAACTGATTTTTGGTGAATTAGTTGTGAGAAGTTGTTTAAAAGAACTATGAATTTGTTTGTTATACATAAATAAAGAGCTATGAATATTATTTTTTTATTTGTAGTAATAGTTCATATTTATTGAATACTTGGTACGTGCCAAGTATCTTGCATGTTTTGTATCATTTAACCCTCATAATAACCTTTTGAGGTATAGGTGTTGTTACTGTCATCTTTACTATTAGGTAAGGAACTGAGGCCCAGAGTATGAGTTAACCTCTCCTGTGTCTCAGTCTGGGAGGTTCTGGAGCAGGTTAATTTGATTCCAGAGTCTACCCACAGTGCATTTCTGCCTGCCAGTAGTGGTACTTGAGTTAATATTTTTCAGTCATTTATCTATTTCTGTAAAATAATGGAAGAACTTCTTAAAGATTTTTTTTTCTTTTCTGAACTAAATTTTGTCGTTTTTTTCTTTGAAAAGTTAGTGTTACAAAAAATACTGGTATAATTGAGGTGATTGCTGACTGCTTATCAAGGTAGCAAAATTTAATCAAAATACATTTGTCTTCCCTGATTTTTTTTTTCTTTAAGTGGATGATTTTAGAGTGGTTTCTCTCAAATTGCTGCAGACACATTTCAAGAAATCTTTAGATGATCGGAAAGTAAGCAGAGTGGAGTTCCTTCCAGTTCACTGGCACAGTTCCTTGGGTGGAGATGCTACAGGTGTTGACAGGTTTGTGGATTTTGATAGCTTGGTTTTCAGATTAGTCAGGCTTAGATTCAAATTTTAAACTATTGTATAAAGTAGTTTATTATGACTTCAACAAGTAACACTAAAAAGTTTTGATTATATATTTGCTGTTATATATGATTAAATGCTGTTAAGTTTATATGCTACTTTGTTTGTGTGCATGACTGATTATATATGTATGTGGTGTGTATATTTCTATTGCAAATACTTAAGAGAATCTGTGAAACTTAAACTGGTTTTAAAATACTTAGCTCTAGTGGTTTTTTTCTATAGTGGTTCAGACATGGGACCGCCCTGTACATTGTAGCATGTTGAACAGTACCCTCGGCCTCTACCCTCCAGATAGAGTAACTCAGCCTTTCCTCTGATTTAACAACCAAAAATGTCTCTAGTCGCTGCCAGCTGTGTCCTGGGGGCAGAGTTGCCCCTAGTTGAGAACCCTGGTTGAGATGATTGTTTCTCAGTGGAGACTCTCTGGCAGAACAGTTGTCATGAAAGACTGTTGTGTGTACTGTAGGCTGATTAATGTCCTTAGTCTAAACGCCACTAACTGCCGGCAGCTTTTACCGGGCCCTGTGACAACCAAAAAGGCCTCCAGTCAACTGTGATTGCTGCCAGCTTGGAACCACAGACTGAGGAAGTATTTCTGCCAGGGACGCAGAGCTGATAACATACTTAGATTTTAGTGGACGTCATGGTGTTTCAGGGCATGTGTTTTAATAAAACTAACCTACGAACATTTTATCATGTGAGGCCCTGTACAGAGGATGAGATGGTTGGATGGCATTACCGACTCAATGACATGAGTTTGAGTAAACTCCAGGAGTTGGTGATGGACAGGGAGGCCTGGCATGCTGCAGTCCTTGGGGTCTCAAAGAGTTGGACATGACTGAGCGACTGAACTGAACTGAGGCCCTGTTATGGGGCTGTTTTCTTTCTCTCTGGGTGTTCCTGAAATATGCTGTGCTGTGTCCTGAAATAAGACCATCTCAAATCAGGAAAGATTTTCATTCTCTTAAACTCCTTTCTTAGTTTCTTGCTGGATTCTCTGTTGTCCTTGCCACCCACAATTTTTGTCAAGTATCCTGATTTCCAGTAGATTGGAAGAAAAATGAAGGGTAGGCTTTGCTCTTTAAAAATGAAGTAAAGATCTTTGTTTTGGCCTTATTTTATATGATAACTTTATTTTATTTACTTTTTTATGATAACTTTAGAGAATCCACAAATTCATAGTATAGTTATAGGCACAAGTTGATAACGTTTTTGATTTATCTTGATTTATTTACAGAAACTCTGAAATCAACTCATAATTAGTCTGTGAGTTTTTTTTCTCAGTGTATTTTCAGGATTCAAAATCAAAACTTTTATAAACTCATATTTAAGGTGGTTACTAAGTATACTTTTTTCTTTCTAAACAGGAATATTAAGAAAATCACTTTACCGAGTATTGGTCGATTTCGTCACTTTACCAATGAGACCTTGCTAGACATTTTATTTTACAACAGCCCCACCTACTGTCAGACGATTGTGGAGAAAGTGGGATTGGAGATAAACCGTCTGTATGCACTCTTCTTGAGTCGGAACCCTGACTTCAAAGGAGGGGTCTCTGTTGCTGGTCACAGCTTAGGTGAAGCTTTTACATTTCCACATTTAAACTACAATTTTTGTTGTGTCATCACTGTTTTCAGTGTGGGTGACATGGTTTGTTAAAGATCTAGAATTATAGATTTTCAATTTTATAAAGGGTAGAAGTGAATGCTTTGAATTTACATTCTGCCTTTTGCTATTTGTCTTTCATGTTGCCTAGGAATGCTTTATATTTTAATTCTGCTATTTGGTAAAGCAAGAATATAGATTATCAGATCTTGATTAGCATCTAACTTTACGTGACTTGCACTTGGGACTTTGAACAAAAAGAGTAGGAGAATTGATTTATTGTTATAGAAGAACCTAATACATTATAAAACAAAAAAGCAAAATGCTTCTTTTTTTTTTTTAAGGCTCTTTAATATTATTTGACATCCTGTCTAATCAAAAAGATTTGAGCTTATCAAAGTCTCCTGTGCCTTTAGCTGTTGCTAATGGAGTTTTGAAGCAACCACATTTTCAGGAAAAGCAGGTATGGCCCACTAACATCTAGATTTAGAGTTTGAGCCAAAGAGCTTTTCAAAATCTGAACTGATTTTATGTAACAAAACTCTTGAGGTTTACAAGTATGATGGAACCATAGAGCTCGTTTGAGTTTCTCACTTGTCTTCCTTATGGATTATACATTTAAATGTGATAGAATGTTTATGGTTTAAAAAATGTGAAGTAAATTATTGTAGGAAGTGGAGGCATACAAATTCAGTAATTTTAGTAATTTTCTGAATATTCAAACTTGGAATAACAAACTGCCAAAAATTATGATTTATGTATGGAACAGAATTAAGATTTTTCCATAAATCAGAAGATGTTTTATGGGAGTTTTTCTGAACTTTGTAATGTTCTCCCACCTTTTTTTTAAAAAGATACCCGAAGAACCAAAGCTGACGTTGGATGAATCTTGTGACCTTGATGTTGAAAACGAAGAAGTCCTGACTTTGCAAGAAACTCTGGAAGCACTTAGTCTCTCTGAATATGTTAGCACTTTTGAAAAGGAAAAGATTGATATGGAATCTCTGGTACTGATGATAGTTTGATTCATTTTTGTCTGAAACTGTTTTTCCTGTGTATGAGATGGTAAATTATTAAGATTTAAACCCTTTTACATCACAGTGAAAGCAGAAACTTAAATGTTTACAAAATTGAAAAAATCAGGAGACCTTTTTTTTAAAAATAATTTGTGAAGACTTTTCTAAGTATAACAAAACCCACAAGCCATAAGGAAAAAAAAATTGTGTGGTGTAGGGGATGCCATAAACAATATCGAAAGGCCAATGATAGGTTAAGAAGACAATTTGGAGCACACCTTATAGACAGAGCATTTATTTCTTTGTTATTCAAAGTTGCTACAAATTAACTACACAGAAACCATCAACACAGTAGGAAAATAGGCAAAGGATATGAACAGATGTATATGGAAAATAAAATAAGAAGCAACTTATCAAGAAACTCAAGAAAAATATGAATTACAAGTCCAATGAGATTATTTTTTAACCTGTCAGTTTGGCAAGAATATTAAAAGTTTGATATTAATACACTGTGTGGCCGGGATAACAGGAAATAGGTACTGATACATACTGGAGTAAGAGCATAAATTGGTCCAACCTCTGTGGAGGGCAGTCTAACAATATCTTTTATTATTTTTAAAATATTTATTTATTTGGCTATACCAGGTTTTAGTTGCAGTATGTGGAATCTTGTTCCCTGGCCAGGGATCAAACCAGGGTACCCTGCATTGGGAGCGTGGAGTCTCAGCCACTGGGCCACCAGGGAAGTCCTATCTTTTAAAATACAAAGAATGCATACACTTAGCCCAGCAATTTCACTGCCAAGGGTATTTCCTATGAAAAAATACATAGTATTTCCAAGGATACTCACTGTAGCACTATTTGTAAAAGCAGCACCTTAGGAACACCTGTGTCCACTAGTAGGGTGCCAGTGAAATAATTTATGGTGCATGCACACAGTGACCAACCCTGCAGCTGTTGAATGAATGGGGCAGTGCCAGAGGGATTGGTGTGGAATGATCTCTAAGGTTTGTTATGTGAAAAGACCAAAATTCAGACCTGTTTGTGTATAGGCTTGTTGCTCAGTCACTAAGTCATGTCCTACTCTTTGCGATTCCTTGGACTGTAGCATGCCAGGCTACCCTGTCCTACACTATCTCCCAGAGTTGCTCAAATTCATGTCCATTGAGTTGGTAATGCGTGTAAGTCACACACGTGGAAAAAGTCATAAGTCATACACAGGATGCTGTGTATACATAAGATATCTCTGGATGGAGAGCAAGTTGCCTGCAGTATGTGCTCAGAGGACTGGGTGGTTGGGGTGGGTGGAGGGAGGAGACTTCATTTCATGCTTGACATAACTTTTGATACTGTACAACCATGCGTGTATTTTCTATTAAAAATTAAGAGAATGATTTAGATGTGGAGGCTGAAGATTTTACCACCTAAATTAGTTCATAATTAAAAATTACTTAGGGTGGGGGTAAAAAAATTAACTTAAATTGACTAGGATATTCAATTACCTTAGATGATACAGTTTCTTTTCATAATTTCCTTTTTTCAGTTTCAGTTCATGTATCATTAGATTGACTAATGTGCTTGTCTGATTTCTTTTAAAGCTTATGTGTACAGTGGATGATCTGAAGGAAATGGGGATACCACTTGGACCCAGAAAGAAGATAGCTAACTTTGTAAAACATAAAGCTGTCAAACTGGTAAGGTTCATTTCTGCTCCTAAAAGAAAACAGAACTTATCTCTGACTAGCTTGTTTATATTTTGGAAAATTTTGTTCATACCATTATGGTTAGGCCAGTTACTGTGCTCCCTGCCCAAGGGAACAGTAATCGAGTTGATGGAAGCCCAGATGTGGGAGTCAGCCAGAACTTGGTTTAAATTCTAATTAAATTCCAGTTCCTGGTTTTCCTGGGGCTGATCAAAGTTCATGTTAAAGGACTTGCAGTTTTAAAATTGGTATTTGCTTATTTCCCAGCGCAACACTGGATAAGTCCTAGACAAATAGATGAGTTGGTGACCCTAATTTCCAGTTCAACTACTCATTAACTATATATTCATGAGCAATTTGCTTAACTTTTCTGGTCCTTGGTTTCTTTCATTTCTACAGTGGGAGTGATAATGCCTTCCTTACAGGATTGCAGAGTGGATGAAGCCATGTATGTAAAGCTAATCACTCAATAAATATTAGCTCATTTTGTCTTTCTAATCCTTCTCACCATCTAAAGAGATAAAAAGAACACACATATACATCTCATTAAATAATAACCAAAAAGCAAAAATTGTTAGCAGTCCAAAACACAGCAGTAACACCAACAACTAAAAAGCATTTCAGAAGAAGTAAAACAATTGGGAATAACTCACTTGTTTTATTTAATTTTCATTAAGTTAACTATATAGAGATTTTCTATAAACTTAGAAAAAGTTGGTAACATTTAGGGTAGCTGTTTTGTTTTTATTGTATATTAATTAACATGGTCTTCATTGACCCTTCCATCTTTTAAACGTCTGTGGTTCTTGACTTTGGACAGAACTTAATATGCCCCTTTATGTGTAATACGATTATAAAGTCATAGGACAGAGTTGTGATTAGCTAAGCAGTTGAGTTCAGCATTTTCCGAGTGTATCTTTTGCATCAGGCACGTGCTGGATCCTTGGGATCTGGAGATGAACCGTGTGGTTGTGGTCTTAACTAGAGGGGGAGATTTGACCAGAAAGGAAGTATTGGTCCTCTGACAGTGCTGTCTGCTGTCAGAGCCAGGTGAGGCCTGGCCATAGGAGGAGGGATGGGGCTGCTGAGGGAAAACTTCCCCCAGGTGTTGGTGAATGAACTTGAAGGAGGGGCGGGGCAGGGGAAATGGCTCTCCAGGAGGGGGCAAGTATTTTTCTGCAGTGGAAACAGCAAGGGGACTGAGAATAGGGTAGGGGAGAGGGTCCCAAAGGCCCGAACGGCGGAAGTGGCAGCTGGTCCTCAAATGCATTCTCATGGCCGTCAAAGGCATGGTCCTTTTTAAACTTACACCATGAAATGCTGACTTGCTTATTAATTTTTGTCACAAATTATGATTTAGCACCAAATCATTTATTTAGTCTAAATTTTATTTTTTTACTTCGGAAATGTTAAAATTTAAAGCTATGTGTTATAAGCCACATTACCAGGGTCTTCTGCATTGCAGGTGGATTCTTTACCAACTGAGCTATAAGGGAAATCCCTATAAAATGTCAACCATGAGCAAATGTGCTTATAATAAATAATAAATGAGTTTTTAGACATTGATTCCTTCCTGGTTTTTCCATTAATATTTGCTGTCTTTTGCTATTGGTTAGGGCCCACTGGCTGATACGCAGTACTAAAGGAAGAAAAAGTTGGAGCAAATCTTAAAAGTTGAGACAATTCCGTTATCAACCTGAATTTTACGTTAATATGTGTGTGTGTGTGAGAGAGAGAGAGAGAACTGGGCCACATTTTAGCAGTAGTGTAAAGCCACTGGGTCAGTTCTGAGGGACACTGTTGAGAGCCACTGCTGTGGGTCAGTGGAGCAGTCAGGGCGCTTCCGCGGCTGGGCTGGTGCTTTAGAGTTCACTTGGTTACAGTGTGGGGATGGAGCCGGAAGGCGGTGAAGCTCGAGGCTGTTGGGAACCTCAGCATAGTCACTGTAATTACGCAGTGACTCAGAAATGGTTGGGGTATAATAGGAAATGGAAAAGAAGGGTGAGACTCAAAACACATTTTAGACACAGGATAGTGTTTGTGGTGGTTGATTGAAGGTGATGACGAAGACTGAGTTGAGAGGCAGCATCTCTGCTGAGCACAGTGGTCACACCAAAATCAGGACCCCACAAGTGTGTCCACACTGTGGACACCAGCCTATGTTCTCCACATGTAAGCACGTTTGTCTGCATGTGCATGTCAGTGAAGCACAGGCCTGTAAAAACAGACAAAAAATGAGAAGCTAGATTTCCAGGCCCTGCATCTGTCCTTGATTTTATATTTCAATAAAAGGAAAAAAAGGTTCTGTTTATAATTCTTGAAAAGTCTCTAGAAGGAGTTTGGTTTGGCTCCTGTAGTAACTTGGATATATCAGTTATGGCACTTACAAGAATGTTTTGAAAGGGGTAAAAACCTATAGTCATCTTATTTTTTAAATTCAAAAATAATTGCCTCTGAATGAACCATGACACTTTCTCAGCTGTGTTACCATTGATTGCTCTGTTTTTCATCGTTAACAAGGTGCTGCTGGATCAATAATGAGATAAAATGGTGCATCCTATTGATTTACTGTAACTGAAAAGTTAGCCCATTATTTTTAATAAGGAGATCAAGTATTTGTGACCTGAACTTTTCTTTCCCCTTTGTAAGCCATCTTAATCATTTTCCTTTGAAAAGAAATAATTCTTAGTGCTGGGAATATTGATTGTCAAGTATGTGTATGTGGGCTCACTTTGTTTTCACATTACTGCTTGTGTCTAAGAGGGAAACAAAACAGCAGTTTGCAGTAGGACTGTTTAGGATCTATTTAGACAGTTCTCTTAGCAATTTAGATTGTTAAGTTATATGACTATAATGGGAGGTACTTCAAAGCAAGAAAGAAAATTTAAACTGAAGAACGTTCGTCACATTCTTCAGTTTGTGTTTTAGGTTTAATCCTGTGGTGTCTCCAAAGGGCAGAGATAATAAGGCCAGCCCAGACCTTCATGGTGGGATCAGTTTCCAGATGGCTGGCGGAGAGCTTTCTTTTTGCTGTATCATGTTTTGAATTAACCAGTTGGACCTGTTTCCAGGTTTCCTAGTATTTGGAATTCACCGATGGACAAGAGCAGTTAGACCAGCTGTTGGGTTTAGGCACTGTCAGTAATGTTCAGAGACTTACCCAGGCATTCACAGCCTTAGGAGTGAGGACCACTGAGACCTGTGCCCGTGGGAAGTCAGCAAATCCACTGTGATGGTCGTTCACATTCCCCTGACATTGTTGCTGCTGTCCTGGGGCGCGATCACAAACCAACACGGGCACATTTTGTCTCGTTACTGTAGTGATACACCTGTTCTGTTGATGCTCCCAAAGATTTTCTTTACTGACTTATTTATGACATATGTAGGTCTTGAGAGTTCTGTTCAATGAGCTTTGACAATTTTTGCACCTGTGTAATCACCAGCCAAAGCCAGAAATAGAACATTTCTGTCACTCAGTTCTCTCATGCTGCTCTCTGGTCAGCTCCTCCTGCCATAGAGTTCCTCTTCTGAATCTGATCACTGTAGAATAGTTTTGCCTGTTCTAGAAGTTTATATAAATGAAACCAACACTGAAAACTCTTTTGTATCTTTCTTCTTTTACTCAAAATAATGTTTTTAAGATCCATGAAGTTGTAGATTTATTTGCAGTTTACTCCTTTTTATTTCTGAAGAGTTATTCCATTGTATGAATGTACCACAATGTGTTCTTCCCAGAATGCTTTTGAGGAAAACTTAGCAGTGGCTTCATATAGACGTAAGAATATAAACATGTTGAATGAATAAATTTCTTAAGTTACACCTCTTTATAGGAAGTATATATTTTACAGGTACATAAAGTACTTCTAAATTATCTAGCTAAAGTTGAGATCATGAAGGAAGAAGTTGGCATTTAAAAAAACTTTTTCTATTAAAATTTTAAATTATATAAAAAATGTACAGCACAGAGTATAATAATAGCTAATATTTAGATTTAATTGTAGCTGTTTTGCCACATTTTTCTTTGTTCTTAATTTTCTTTTTCTTAAGACTTTTAAAGTAGCTTATAGACATGGCATTTTTTTCCTTGAATATTTACTATGTGTCTCTAAAAGGACATTTCTCTTAATTAACCACAATGCCTTCATTGTTATGCCTAAGAAACTACTAATCATTCCTTAATATTGATATGGATATTTCATAGTGATAGCTGATGACTTTTTTCCCTTAGTTATATTATGAAATTTTGGTATTTCACAGGAAGAGAAAAAAGCAGCATCGGAAAAGAAGGCAGTGGTGGCCACGTCAACAAAAGGTCAGGAGGAAAGTGCTCAGAAAGCTAAAGACGTGGCTTCTCCTCCCTCAGACGTGAATGAGGCCAAGAGGAGGCTCCCGCTCGGAGCGTCCATCTCCTCTGTGCGTGTTGATTATGAGGCCTTTGAAGTTGGCACCGGACAGGCAAGTCAACATGCTGACTCAGGCTGTGTGGTTTATGTTGGAATCACTTGCCTGGGTTATTTGGGCGACTTTAAATTCTTTAAATATTTATTCAACAATTTTTTCAGGGGAGGGTGGAGAAAACTGATTTTCTCTTGATAAAAACGGCTTGCTTTCATAGTGTTAGAAATAAGAGATTGATTGTGTACTGAACATATCACTTCGCCTTTGAAATTGTCTCTGTTTAAGTCTTTTTACCCATCAGTTTTATAGTGTTAAGTGTCTCAGCCACTAGTAATAGAAGTGGTGATAGAAAATTATTTTCAGAGTATGCTTAAACTTTTTTACTACTCACAGTTCTTCCCTGAGGGAAATAGTTTCTGTAAAAGCCTACCAAGTAGTTGATAATGCTGCATTTAATGATAAACTTGTTTCACAGTGGCTTAAAAGTATTAAAATCTTTTTAGAGAAGGTTACTTTCAATATATTTACAGTTGTATGGTTCTAATGGTTACTTTCAGTTGTATGGTTCTAATCTCATAAGTGAGTTCATGACTGATTTAAAGAAGGCAGAAAATATTGCTGGATGTTTGATATAGCCTATTCAAGCTTTTAAGCCTTAATTCATTCATAAAATCTGCATTTAAAGGGATTTTTATTTATTTATTTAACTTACTTATTTGGCTTGCCTACTCCAGAACACATGAGCTCAGTAGTTACGACTGGCAGGCTCAGTTGCCCTATGGCATGTGGGATCTTAATTCCCTGACCAGGGATCAAGCCTGCGTTCCCCACCTTGCAAGGCTTGCAAGGTGGATCCTTAACCACTGGGTCACCAGTAAAGTGAAAGTTGCTCAGTTGTGTCTAACTTCTTGTGGCCTCATGGACTATTGCCTGCCAGGCTCCCCCGTCTATGGAATTCTCCAGGCCAGAGTCCTGGAGTGGGTCACTGTTCCCTTCTCCAGGGGATCTTCCCAACTCAGGTCTCCCGCATTGCAGGCAGATTCTTTACCAGCTGAACCACCAGGAAAGTCCACAAAAATGTCTTCTTAAAACATGAGCAAACTTGAACAGACTCTAGGAAATAAGGAAAGGACATACTTTCTCAGCTGCATGTGAAGGCTGGAGTGTAGAAGGTTTGTGGAACCAGGGCCTCCCCATCACTGGGACACTCTCACCGCCTGCTTCTCCTTGGAAGTGTTGGCCTCCGTGAACGTGGAATTGTTGGTGTTGGTGGTTCTGGACTCCTCTCTTCATAGCTTCATCACCATAGAGGTGAAGGAATCTACCTAATAGGTCCAGTTAAGAAACTTTTAAGGAAGGATTTTATTTGACCTGACTTGAGTCTCAGGTCCATTCTGGACCAATTCTTATTGGCTGGGGAGTGGGGAATGGTTTGATTGACCCAGTCCAGGTCACATGCCATCTCCTTTGTTACCCAGAGGGTTGTTGTGGAAATCCAGTGTGCATCATTCATGCCAGAAAGCCAGGAAATACTGATTAAGGAAAAGATGAGGGGAAAAAAAAAAATCTCATAATCTCCTTAACCATGACTAATTACCATAAGCAGTTTGAACAAGGCCTTCTGGACTCTTGAGCATATATTTACATATCTGTTTTAATAAAAATGGAAAATACTAAGACATTATACAGATCTCCCTTGACTTATGATGGGGTTATGTCCTGATTAACCCATTATAACCTGAAAATACCCAAAGTAAAAAATGCACTTAATACACCTAACCTGCCCAGCATCAGAACATTAAACATTAAATGTGCTCAAAACACTTAACATTAGCCTACAGTTGGGCAGAATTACCCAACACAAAGCCCATTTTTAAAATAGGCTGCCATAACAAACTGTCACAAGCTGGGTGGTCTTAATCACCATAAACTTACTGTCTCACAGTCCTGGAGGCTGGAAGTCCACGACGCAGGTGTCGGCAGGGCCTTGCTGCCCTCTGAAGCCCTGAACGGGCACCCCGCCCTGCCTCTTTCCCTTCTGATGCCTTGCCAGCAGTTGTTAGTCAGCATCCTTTGGTTTATGTGCTTCACCCCACCGCCCCGCCCCATTCTTCCGTTTTCACGTGGTCGCCTCCCTTTGTCTTCACTTCCCTTCCCTGTCTCTGTGTCCAGGGTTCTCCTTTTTATAATGACACCACTCACTGGATTTAGGGCCCACCTTAATGCTGTAATGATTCTATTTCCAAAAAAAGTCTGAGGTACTGGTACAGGTTTCTTTGGGGGAAAACATTCAACCCATAATATTAGACCTGTATGCAGTTTTTCACTCTGTTAAGCAATCCAGTGATAAACAATTTTAAACCAATTTTCTGTGAACATTTTTTATTCTTTCTTGCAGTTATGTAACTGGAAGTATTTAAAGCTGGGCCGAAAGCCATGAACACGAGAATGTTAATAGTTACTGCTACTTGCCCCTGGAAAGTTTGTACTCCCACTGGCAGCTTATAAGACTGCCTCTCTCTCCTCCCCCTTGCTAGTACAATCATTCTTGTTTAAAAATGTTGTATTCTTACTCATAACTTCTTCTAAAGAAATAGTTTTTTCACATGCAAATAGGAGTTTTTAATTTTGTTTTTTTAGTATTTTATTTATGTGCTAACTGTATCTCACTGTATTTCTTTGAGCACTAGAGAGGCTAGATATTTTGTCATCTGTTTTTAATGCTTTTTTTGATGATGTACTAGAGTACCTGTTTTTCTATTGGGTTGCTTTTCTCTTTACTGGTACTGAAGAATTCTTTATATATTAGGGATATTGGCCCCTTCATGTAAATATTTTTTCCAGTTTATAATTTTTTTAACCTTATTTGTTTTTCTGGAACTGAGGCAAGATGCATAATCTTGAGAGCACCTTCTTTGTGGTCCCCATCAGTAGCAGAAACTATTGAATTTGCAAATTTAGGGGCAAACCAAGGGTTGTGAAGTCTAGACTTTGTTAGAGGGGCAGCCTAGTTAGTAGAAAGAGCTTTGAATTTGGGGTTAGACGTCACGTCATTCTGCCACTCACCATGTGCTCCTGGGTAAGTGACGTCCGTCACCTACTTGGGCTTCACTGTCTTTGTCTGATATGTGGGCATGAGGGTCCCTGCCATGCCCTCTGCTCTCAGCGGACCTCTGTCATGCCCTTGATTATGCCATTGATTGTTCTTCATTCTCAGGATACTGAAATGATGAAGACACACGTTCTGTCCCTGAGCAGCAAACAAGAGCTTTGTAAACTATAGAGAGCTGTCCGAATGTGGGTGCTTTCTCTTACACTAACAGTTCTCTGTGAGCTGAAAGGCTACATGTGTGCTTCCCCACACAGGAGCTCTTTGGGGATAAATCATCTTTCTAATGGAGAGAAACATTCGCAATGAATGAGGATGGTGGTTATAATAGAAGTCACAGTCATTGGATGCTTAAAATATGCCAAACACCTTATGTGGATTTGGTTATTAAGTGTGGTTTTTCAACCACACTATGAGTTTGGCATTGCTATGATTCCCATTTTATAGATGAGGAAACAGGTGGAGGCAAGAGAGATTGAGAAACTTACCTGAAGACACACAGTGAGGAGTGGAGTCAGGGCTCAAACCCAAGCAGTTTGATTCTAGAGTCTGCAGTTTTGACCACATTTATAACTAACATAGATATGATACTTCTGTACACTATATATTTTATGCTTTATACAATAAGTGAAAGTCTATTCAGAGGATGTAATAGTGGATAAAGATTTCAGAGGGAAACTTTTTGGTCCTTTTGTGCTAGCAGCAGCTTTCCATCACAGTGATCAGTAGCATCATAAGCCACACCTGACAGAGCATCATCTGTATTGGGGTGCTTTTAATTAAGTGCAGTTTCAGTTGAACCTTTGATATTTGTATTTCATGACATTGAAATGACTGTCTTTCATTGTTTTCTGATTCTTCCTAGGTTTCTGTTGTTTACAGTGCCTTAGACTTTGAACCAGAGATTTTCTTTGCCTTGGGATCTCCAATTGGTATGTTTCTCACTATTCGAGGAGTGGATAGGATAGATGAAAACTACAGGCTTCCTACCTGCAAAGGATTCTTCAATATTTATCACCCAGTGAGTGACTTGCATTTACTTCTGCTTTGAAAAAGACAGAGCACTAGTCCTCTTTATCCTGATAGAATCTCAGATTCTTAGGAATTAATACTGATTTTGATTTTGTACAACTCAGCCCTCTGACCTAAAAAATACAGTCTGATATTTTGCGATAAACTTTTCTACCAGAAAACCTTTGTTCAAGGAAATGATTCCTTCACTTTGTTTGCAAAGTAATTTTCTTCACAAATTGAAAAGTCTTCTTATAATTACCAGTATTTGACTAAGGTGTGAAAAAAAATAAAAATCTCTGGTTTGCCAGTTATCTGTTTGCTCACTTAACTAAGATATATAATTCAAAACAGCTTTCCATAAATTTCTAATTCTTCTGTTTATAGCTTGATCCAGTGGCATATCGATTAGAACCTATGATTGTACCAGATTTGGACCTCAAGGCAGTTCTCATTCCACATCACAAAGGCAGGAAAAGACTTCATTTAGGTAAAAAGCCAATGCTTTTTCCTTCCTGTCATTTTGTGATCTCTCATTTAATGATTTGTGTTCTTCCTGTCATTTGTAATAAGTTATGAGCATTTTAACACTAAGCTTTACTTATTTAAGTGCCTACTATGTTCAGAACCTGTTTACTAAATATTTGGAGGAGCTATAAAGTTATGAAAGAGTTTCTTCTCCTTGATGATTTCTTCTTGATAATATTCTAGTTGTTGATATAATGAGGAATGGGGGTAGTTGGTAATAAAGTGAGATGCATACATTTTGATAAAATTTGGTAATAGTTTTTGGAATTGGGAAGCAGAGTAATTTTTGAACTAAAGACCAAACCATCAAGAAATAAATTTTGATGCTCAGTCAAGTGAGCTGTTTTTTCCTTGGTAACTATAAATAAACTTTTTCTTTTAAAAAAATTTTATTGGACAAAATGGATTGATAATAGTTCCAAGTAGGGTTTAGGTTTCTTTTATCCCTATTAATGGTGTATATTACTTCTTCTTCATAGGTTTAAAAGAAGGAAAAGTGATCATGCCCTCTTACTTAAAATTTTTGTTCTTTTTTTTCTTTAAGCTTGCTTTATGCTTTTCAAACATAATTAACTTTTGAAGTTAAAATGAGAAATTTGATACTTTGATATTCTTAAAAGTTTGAATTAAAATATTTATTAGACAAAAGTAGAAAAAGTAGTTTCTTCACTTTTAAATTAGTTTACATTGTGATTATATCAGAATCTCAAATTCTCAAAACCATTCACCAATACTTTTAGAAAAATAGTCATCTTTTTAGTCTTGTGGGTCCATTTTTTGACGTATAGAATAAAAAAAGGCCCATAAATGTGCTTATACATTTTTATGGTATTTGAAATCTGTCTTTTTTTTCTTTTTTTGGAGAGAGGAAATGTATAGGTTTAAGCTGGATCAAGTTTAGTCATTAAAAAAATGATCGAAATACAAAAAAAAAAGAAAAAAAAAATGATCGACTAAGACTCCACAGAACATTTTAACATGTTGAGAGTTCTTGGCTGAGAAACTCCCGTGTATTTGACATTTAAGAGAAGAATAAGAGGTCTTATCTCGTTTGAGAATAGTGTAACCTGTGTTTTAATTTCTGTGGTGCAGAATTTTACCCAGTAACTAATACCTTGTTATGTCATCTTAATCTCCATAGAGTTGAAAGAAAGTCTCTCTCGTATGGGATCTGATTTGAAGCAGGGTTTCATTAGCTCTCTGAAAAGTGCTTGGCAGACATTAAATGAGTTTGCCCGTGCTCATACCTCTTCAACTCAGTTGCAAGAAGAATTGGAGAAGGTAGCCAATCAGATCAAAGAAGAAGAAGAAAAGCAAGTAGTTGAAGGTAAATTTGACATTTAAGGCATTTTCCAGTGCAAAAATTTTTTGTGAACAAAGCACACATAAATTATTTGATGATGCTTTTCCATTATAGTCCTTTTTGTTGAAATATAGAGGCTCTTCCTATAAAGGAAAATCTGTTTGGACAAACTACTTCGAAATGCATGTCATCCTTCCTTTTTAAACTAGGTTTTGGGCTGATAGTTGCAGGTTTTACTCTGCTGATGTTTAGTTGCTAAGTCGTGTCCGACTCTTTGCAATCCCATGGACTGTAGCCCGCCAGGCTCCTCTGTCCATGGGATTCTCCAGGCAAGAATACTGGGGTGGGTTGCCATTTCCTCCAGGGAATCTTCTGACCCAGGGATTGAACCTGCATCTCCTGCATTGGCATGAAGGTTCTTTACTCACTGAGCCACTTGGGAAGCCCAGGTTTTACTGTACAGGCTTTAAATCTTGTTGAGATTCATAAGGCCAGAGTGGAATGTCGGAGTTGAGAACTAAGTTGGTATTCGGGCGTTTGAATGACTCCCTGTGAGAAGAACTCTCCTGGTTGTGTCTGACTTGTCACTGTAGACTGTACGTGCAGTGTCAGCTCATTGTGCCGTGACGTCTTTGATTCTTTCAGGTTCTAATTCTGTTTCCTTTCTCTCTACAATGCTCTCTCACCCCTTTTCTTCAAAACTCCTATCAGCTGGTTGGCTCTCTCTCCTCTCTCCCGGGCAGCCAGCCCCTCTCCCCCAGGCTCTTTGGAGGAATGGCAAGTGAGCCTGGTAGCTCCCCAGGCTGCTGCGTGTGTCAAGCAATTTTCTCTTGAGCCCAGAAAGTCAGCTAAAGTCAGAGGATAATGATTAAGTGATTGACTTTGATATTGAAATGGTTTGAATTCTAGCAGAAAAGATTGTTGAAAGTCCAGATTTTTCCAAGGATGAGGACTACTTAGGAAAGGTTGGAATGTTGAATGGAGGCCGTCGAATTGACTACGTTCTTCAAGAAAAGCCAATAGAGAGTTTTAATGAATATCTTTTCGCTCTTCAGAGTCACTTATGCTATTGGTAAGTATTTACCTTTGATAGTGTTCATGTGCCAGCACATACTGCAGTTCTGTGAGATTCCTGCTTAATTAGCATTTGTTACGGAATATTAATTTGAATGCCCATATATTCAAAATCAGTGTTTTACCACATTAGCTTAGTTATCCACAAGGTGGCAGCATGTCACCTGTGTTTGACCAAAGACCTTTGGTACTTGCACATATTGTTGGGAGACATTTCGGAGTGGGAATGGTAGGGACTTTGAATGCCATCCTTTCATATATCCTCTGTCACCAAGGAGAACAGCAGCACAGCTGTTTTGTTGCTGATCAGTCTTTATCCATTTTTTAAGGACAGCTCTGAGATTATACAACTTTGTTTTCATTTGCCCTCCTTAGGTAAAGTTGAACAGAACCAAAGCTGCCTTTCTACCTTTATGCATAGAGGTTAATTTCTCATTATCTCTTAAGTAAATGTGCTTTTTCTTTTTAATAGGGAATCAGAAGATACTGCTCTGTTATTACTTAAAGAAATTTATCGAACAATGAACATTAGTCCAGAACAGCCCCAGCATTGATTGGACTTCCAACTTCACTGTGTGAGTTTATCTTTATTGCGTGTATAAATTCTGAAGGCTTCATTCTGAGGCTTTTTTTTTGACTGCACCCTGCACATAGGATCTTAGTTCCTTGACCAGGGATCAACCCTGGGCCCCCTTTGTTGGGAGCAGTCTTAACCCCTGGACTACCAGGGGAGTCCCATGTCTTTCTCTTCCTCTCTTACTCATATGGCAAAACCTAAATCCTAGTAAACCCTTACTCTGAACCTCACTCAAGTAGCAGCACATGGCCAGAGAAAAGTCAGGCAATTGTGCTAACCGTACTCGCTTCAAATCTATGACCAAAGCATCCAGTGGGCAGTCAAGCCTGCAGTATTGTTCTGCCACACTTTGCTGGTAAATTCCCTTCCCCACACTGAGGTGACTGTAATTTTGCTCCTCTCTCTGCTCACATTTCCCACAGCCCTTGACCGTGACCCTACTCTCTCACACTTCGGGGAGAAGCCAGAGAACCCCGCTCTGACCACCACCAACTTTACCCACTCTTCTTACCTTTGTATCTTTGTGATTTTCCTGCATCCACCCACCCATCCATTTGTCCATCCATCCACCCACCCAGCATCTTTCCATCATTTGCTGAGCACCTTACTTGCCTGCTAAGTGCCTAGGCCCTGAGGGTTACAGCAATGGACCACACAGTCTCTGCCCTCAAGGATCTTCTTTCCTCTAGGGGAGGACAGACAGTAAATGAACAATGGAAGTGAGTCAGATGGTTAAAAATAGAGCATCAGGATAAAGGGAGAGGGAATACCTTTGAGATGGGAACAAGTTGCTGTTGTATGTAAAATGGCAGGGGACATCCTTAATGATAGAATGTCATTGAAGCAGCTGAGCCAGGTAGATATCTGGGGGAAGAAGATCATCTCAGACAGACAGAATATATATCAGAGCAAAAGAGCTACCTCATCCTTTTTAGTGATTCCACCACAGTTTGTTTTAACCATTCCTTAACATTGGGCATTTGGATTTACTAGTATGAACAGTGCTTCAGAGAAGCATTATATTTATTTATTTATTTTTCATTTATTTTTATTAGTTGGAGGCTAATTACTGTATTGTAGTGGTTTTTGCCATACCAGAGATGCATTATATTTAATAGTTGTATTTCATTCATAGTTCTTTTTATTAAAATCCTTAATTTATCTACCATTGTTGCATGTTTAGGTGATTTTCCAATTTTTCTCTATTGTAAATAATTCTTAACATGTAGTATCTACTTTTTGTGCATTTCTGACTGCTTGGCATAAATTCCTAAATCTAAGAGTAGTCACATTTTAAAAAGATTTTTGATGTGTATTTATTGGGAAGTTGTATTTCAGAAGGGTTGCAGAAGTTTCATAGCTGCTGTCAATATAAGTGCTAGTTTTTCTCTACCCTTGTCCATATTGGGTATTGCTGTTTTTTAAAGTTTTGCTAATTTGATAGCTAGAAATTATTATGCGTACATGCTAAGTCACTTCAGTCATGTCCGACTCTTTGCGGTCCTATGGACCGTAGCCCTCCAGGCTCCTCTGTCCATGGGATTCTCCAGGCAAAATTACTGGAGTGGGGTGCCATGCCTTCCTCCAGGAGATCTTCCCCACCCATGGATCAAACACACTACTCTTTTGTCTCCTTCATTGGCAGAGGGGTTCTTTACCACTAGCGCCACCTGGGAAGCCCAGAGGTTGTTACATCATTGTTTCATTTTGCATTTCTGTTACTAGTGAAATTAAGCATGTTTAGTGTTTTTAACTGGCCATTTCTTTTTTTGTCAGTTGCCTGCTTTTGACCTTTATGCTTTTTTCTGGAGGTGTGGGGGTTATGATATTTTTGCTTCTTACTGATTTATAGTTATGATAGTTAAAGAAATTAACATTTTGTCATTACAGTTTTTTTTGAGTCTGGCATTTGCCTTCTAATAAATACTCCCTTTTATTTTTGGGGGATAGGATCAGGGAGCATGTTTTAAAAATGTGAAGGCCAGTCTTTTAATATTATTTAGATAATTACATTTATTTTCTTTTAGTTTTTATATGTTTTTGTTTTTTCACCTGACTTTATAGTTTTGAAGGATATGGTATAGAGAGAGAGGAATTTAACTTTTTTCTTAAATATTTAATCTTTTTTGCCTGTGCCATATATTGAATAATGTACCTTTTTGTTGTTGGTTTGATGTTTTTTACGTGTGCTGTTTTGACTTTTTTTTATTCATACACCCAATATTTATTTTCTAGGTTTTCTAACATGTCTTCTTTTGACTTATTTGTCTGTCTACCATATTTTACTGATTTCAAGTTATGTATTTTTTGCATTTCAGCATCTTTACATCTGGAATGCATCTTAAAAAGCAGCTGTTGCCTTAATGAAAGTTGAGTTCTCCCTGAGAGGGTTTGAATTTTCTTCTACCAGTCACTAGGGGGCACTGCTAGTCTGAGTCTTTTGAAACTAACTTCTCTGCTTGAGATTTTCTTGGCCTGTGCTGATAGGGTGCACTCAGGTCATAAAATCTGCAGGCTGGTGGGGGTGGAGGCACCAGGTCAGTATCAAGGAATTTCTCCCCCTTCCTGTTGTCAGGGAAGTGGTCTGTAGCATCTTTGCATTCTTTCTGGAGGAAGCATTATTATTTTTATTACTATATTTTTACCCCTCACTGAGGCTGTTTGGGATTTGATATCCCCACTTTTTGTGAGGGTCTCTGTGCCTTTTAGACTCCCTACCCTGGGCATCTTTTCTTTGCATGATGCATAAAACAATGTTGCATCTTACAATTGACATCTTAGATTCAGTGAAAGTTTTTAATATCTGGTAGTCCACTTTCTTAGTATACCATAGTCTTGGATATTATTCTAAATGAATTTTGAAATGATTTAAATTCCCCTGACATTCTTTCTGCACAAAACAAAGCAGAACAAACAAAATCCAAACCATAGCAGTTCTAGGACTGTGACATCATCACCTGCTATGAAAAATTAAGACTCTTTCATTTTACATATGATTTGTTCACTGTAATTGTTTTATTTCTTCTTATACATGGTTGTAAAACTTAGGCAAGAGCTTAGTTCCTAACAGTATACTGACACTATAAAATAATTTAAAATCTTAACTGTCCTATACATAGTTCATTCAAGCATTGACAGTTTTGCTGAATTTTTTTTCTGTCCTTTAATTTTAGAATCACTCTTTAAAAAGCCTCAGATTAACCTGACAGATAATTCACTGTATCTTTTGCCTTTTATTTTTTGTACTCATTTTGTTACGAAGATTATTAAGCTAGTTGACCTCACTGAACACTCCCTGATGCCCTTCTGTCCCTCTAGAAGGCCTGTCTGAGGACTGTGTTCACCGGCCGTGTTCTTCCAGGCAGCTTGCAGTGTTCGTTTGTTGCTTGACAGTGTGTTCTTTCATTTCAGAAAGGAATGACATTGAGTTTTTGTGTTACGTCTGTTAAGTTTGTAAAGTTGACCGAGGATTCTTTTTTTCTTTTCAAGATTCTCTTGTCTTTACAGAAGCTTGCAGTCTAAATTATAGTGCCAAGAAAATCCTCGGAGGACATTCCCAGTCCTCTCCTGGGCTGGCTGACAGAGAAGTGATCCATCGACAGTTCCTGTGCTGTCATTCTCAGATGTAGGGGTTCATTTTAAAGAAAACATGCAGAACAAAAAGACAATGAAAAAAATCAGTACTGCATTTGGACTGTGTAGATGAGAAAAAGAAATGTTTAAAATGATGCAGTTTAAAATTCCTCAGATCAGTTTAATTGTATAGTTGTCAAAGTAATATGTGATATTAATGAAGAATTTTGTCGCATGCAAACGGTTGTTTCTTTTTCCTAAACTATTGTCAGTGGTCTATTAAACTTGCATTTTTAAATTAATGTAGTATGTTCTACAGACTTCTCAAGAAACTATAATAATACAGTTTTTTAAAGATTTATGTTCAACTTTTTAAATGTGAATTATAGTTTGGGCTGCTTTAATGCAGGGTTATTTGTATTTGTTAAGCAGAAGTAACCAAAATCACTTCTGTTCCACGCTCCACTGTGGTCTTGGAGCCTTCCAGGCCGTTACCGGGATGAGAGTGGTGAGAGGAAGTGAGACGCTTCTCACTTCACGGAAGTCCTGTGAATTCTTTCCCAGCGTCGCTTCCGCTAGCAGCGGGGAGCAAGCAAGAAGTTTCTCCATTTTATCACCTATGGTAGCTGTGCAGTCGCCTTATTGCTGAAGTTGCAGTTAATATGAGAACCACAGTAGAATTTTTTTGGGTTTTGGGTTTTTTTGCCTTCTATTAATTTCACTTACACCAAAGTATTAGAAGGTATGAACTGTATGAACTTCTAGACTATAGCTCTACTTCATGAAAAGACTGTTCTGTGATATTTTACTTTGTTTTACTGTAACTTCAGATTATCTAAATATTTTCCTAATACTACATGTGAATGCTGATTTGCTTTTGTTATGCAGTAGGAACATTTTACACTGTTTACATAGTTCTCATGGAACATAGAATTTTTTGAAAGTCACATATGATACACATTTTTTGTGTATATATATTAGTGTGAATAAAACAGTAACATCAGTGCATTTTTCTAAAGCAGAAAACTTCTGTAATTTTCTTGTCTTCCTTAGAAGTATTCTTTTGAGTTCAGTGTTTATTTACTTTTCATTGTGAGCACCTGCTCTATAGTTAATGTCTAACTATAGCATTTGCTCCTAATAATAGAATTAGGACAGTAGAGTTTTTGAACTGCAGCTGACCCCAGACAGCATACGTTTCAACAACCTTATTCTGCATCCAAGGACATGACACTAAATGCCTTTCTCAGGCTGCTGGTGGCAGATCTGGGCTGGAGTACGGTTCCACCCGCTCCCTTTTGGCCTTCATTTCTCGACATCAGTGCTATTACTTTTCACTTAATTTCCTCCTAACTTCCCCAACTGATGAAATAAGAGTTATTTATGTATATTTTAATAAAATCC